AGTCGGTCCTCTTGTCTACTGCTACTAGCTACCATAACCCATGTATATCTCCCTGCGTCTTTCCCCCTCAGCTTTTCTTCTGTCTGTCTTATTTTTACTTTCACATTCATTAGGCTTATTTTTATCCTGGAACACTGCACACTTATTAGCATTTTTGTAAATACTGCACAGGTTGGAAAAGTCTGACAAAGTATGTAGGCAGAATTTGACAATTCTCACATCTTCATAACTATGAAGTACTTCAGAGTGTGTAGATGTGTCTGGAAGGCATGTCACAAAACAAATGACTGCATATTGTCAACATGAATATATATGGTTGCACAGCTGCATTTTTGAGCAGTTGCTATACAGTAGTATGTTTTGGTTACTTGTGTCTTTACATGACAATGAATTCAATTCCAAATCTGCAATTGCAGTCAAGACATCAAGGTCTTAAACAAAGGCGGTAGAATATGGAAATAAAAAACGTGTTGTAATGCTGTTACTGTAGCACAGGAAGCTCAATGAAAACGGAGTAAAACAAAAAAGCCGAATGCTGTCAAATAAATAATTGACTCCATGTCCAGCAAAAAGAACAATAACATCTGGGAACTAAGTGCAAGTCGGACCGGTAGGAAGATAACTAGGCAACAAAACAACATGTGGAAATACATTTACTTTTACCAAGGCTTTGGAGAATAATGGAATTTTGGTTCAATCTCAAATTTGTGTAATACAGTAAGATCATTTTTGTGTCGAAAACCATTAGCACTTCAGAACAGAATCGGCATGCAAATGTCACCGTAGTAATAAGCTCTTTGAAGTGTAATACTTGATCAAAATGTGATAAATGATGGGGTACAGTTTGACAAAAGCCAGTCTTTAAACAGACGGTCCCATCTGCTCGCTACTCTGAAATTGCGACAGTGGCTTCTCGATTCATCCCCTCGCTTTGTTTTTGTCCCTTCCTTCCCTCCACACTTCTGTCCCCATCCTTCTAATCCCACGTCTGACCGTGTGTGCTCTCAGCGTGCCCCTATCCTGTCATAGCATGCTTTGACCTCAAGTGTGGGAGGAGAACCACACGAGAGGAGGGTCTCTCCCTTTGTGATTCACTCCTGCCTTATTGGCTGTGGCGAGGCAGATTGGTACCCAGTATCCCTCCTCACTACTGGGTGGATAATTCTTGCCCAATTGCAGGGCTGACACTGCTGGAAAAACAAGGACTTGCTTGTGGGAGGGAGCTATATAAGGGATAAAAGATCATATTAAAGTTGCATTTGAGAGGTTTTGTCATAAGCACAAAGGTAAAAACACCATATGAAATCAATTTGAACTGGTTAGTCTATTTTATGCAGTGTAAGCTGAGCACATTCCATTTGTGATATCAATAGTTACATATATTCAGAGGTTTTTTAACAGACAGCATTGCAGATATTCCAATACTGCATCACTGTCTGTCTGCAGGCCCCGTCTTACCGTCTGTCTGGGTCAAAAATTAGGAGGGCAACATATTGAATCGCAGCTTTACTCACTGCCTAACCCCCCTTTTTATTTCCAAGCCATTATTATTCATGAGTGCACAATCAGAACATGGCCTGTCCCAGTAAATGTACCTGCACCAGCCTGGAAGCAGCTGAATTGAGTGTCTGTTTGTCATTATGGTGCTACAGGTAATTTAATTATGAAAACCCAGGTTCCCTCTGTAGTCTATTGTGGGATCAGTTCCAGTCGTTTTTAGTAATGACTTATTTGTATTCTGGCGTATGGACAATAATGCTGTGAATGTAAGGTTATTCGATTAGATAAATTAGATTTTGTATTGTAGTACCATAACCAGCTCTTCCTTCATGCTCTTGCTCCTGGTAGTGTATGCCTTCTGTCTCTCTTTCTGACTTTCTCTCCCTCTCTCAGCCTCAGCCCTCTGCATCCATTTAATGTTTATGCATGCACGATTGAGTTATGTTGTTAGGCATACAGTAGTAAATGTAAAACTGTTTGTCTGAGGCTTCTAGTGCACTGCTTAATCAAAAAATAATGTCCACTCTGTCTGGGATACACACACTGCAGTGTCTCAAAATATACGTAGGTTACAGACAAAATAACACACAGTTAAATGCAGATGTAAATCCAAGTTCCAATACTGTACACTCTCCCAACTCCACCGCCGCACATCAGGAGGCATGACATGCTCCTGAGTCATGAATTTACCCTTAAAGTTCCAGGAGCTGCAAATGCTTCCAGCAGCAGCAGCAGCATCCACACATTCACAGCCCCGGCCCCTGCAGCCCTGCGACACTGTACAATCCAGCTAGCGTCATGCCTATGCAATAGTCAAAGATGATTCCTGAGCTTTAGCTGGTAATTTGGAATGAAGGGGAATTTACCCCAAATAGAACAGAACTCCCCCCGAGGGTAGAGAGAGCAAACTGTTGTTATTGGGTCACGGTTGAGACATGGCAGCAACTCTCTCTTCTCTCTGTAACCTTCCTGCAACTGCACAAAAATAGTTTTAAGGACAGTGTGCACACACTTTGTCTGAGTTATTTAATAATGGTAATGTCTGGTTATATCAGTCTTGAGAGTGAGGTTGAAATTGACTGGTTGCTTTTCATATACTTGTTAATTTAGAACCTCTGTGTACTTTTTGTTAGATTGACAGTGCATTCATTCATAACTGTATGAATAATAATAATAATAAATAAAAAAGGGAGAAGGGGTCGGATTAAATAAGTGTAAACTTCTTCCGACCCCTTTTCGGACGTGTAATTAGCTAAAGCTTTGTTGTTTATTGTTTATTGATATCAGACAATGATACTGCAGATTATTCAATTATTAATTAAATGTTTCGTTTTGTTATTGCATTCATTTGTATATATATATCATGTCTGTATCACCTTTTGTTTCATTTGTATTTTCTTTGGTTTTTACACGCTCGAAAAAATAAATAAACTAAACTAACTGTAGGGAAAGTGACCCTATTGTAGCTTCAACAAAAAGCACACAAGGCCCATTGTGAAATATCGGGCAATCAATGGTCATCATTGATTCCCATGTCTGCCTATGTTTTCCAGTTGTAATATTTCCTCTCGTGGTCTCATTTTCTTGTTGTCTGACTCGTTCACCTTGTTGTCACTCAGCCTCGCTCCATTCCCCCAAGACCTATTCAATGATGGAGAAATACCTATTGTCCTGCTTGTCTGCTTCTCCGCTCCTTGTGCCTAATTGGCATAGAGTATTGGCATTTACACTCTTCGCCCTCAGTGACATGGCTGCCTTTCCAGCGTGAAACAGCTTATTAGTTAAAATGATTTTTCCCTCTCCTCTTTGGCTCATTCTTTACTCTCCATCCGTTCAGGTTATCCCGTTGTTCTGACAAGTAATGGCCTCTCCAATTGAGTACTACCATGACTATGCAATGACTATGTTTCTAAAAGCCCCTCAGGATGCAAACGCACCACCATCCCAACGAATGACATTAAGATGATATGGTCCAAAGGAAGGGTTTCATCCGGGCAGTGCCAGCTTGGTGTAAGTTATCCTCATCCCCAGCAGTGGACGGTTAAGTCCGCAGCTCAGGCACAAAATGCAGGAATCCTGGCCGCCAGTGCTCCTAAAAAGGCCCCATCATCCCACCGCAACTGACTTTGTAGGGATGAAAGACCCTGACAATAAGCCCCGACTGACACAAAATGGAGGACATCGGCTCTTGGCTGAGCGGTGGGGGATTTCCGCTGGCCATGTGTGAGATTAACTCACCTCCGAGGCTCCGTGCTGTGCTGACTCCGCTCGTGAAAGTGCAGAATGATGGCAGGGAGGGAGAAAGAAAAGAAAGATGGAAAGCTATTAAACGCAAAGGTTATTACATTCCTGCCAAGGTTAAAGGAACTGGCTGGTGAATTTGGCAGCTTGCCGAGCTACTTTACCATGGCCAAATCCAGCAGGCATGTTAAGACTTACTCCAAATATTAACGGTCATTTAGAAGGAAAAATCGTCACCGAGACACTTCTGCGAGTAGGAATTTATGTTTGACACCGACGGAGCTTGTTGCCACCAGATTTATCTTAAACACCTTAATGCTCGAACATACAAACACATGCTCACACACCCTGTGCTCCCCATGTGTTCCCCCCCACATCCATCAGCCCAGCTGTGTGCCACACCTGGCGGCTCTGAACAACTGGAGAGGCATTAAAAATGAATGGAAACCATTGAAGAGAAGAGGAATTAATCCCACCCTGTGTGTTCTCTTGGAAGAGTGTTACTCGTGTTTGTGTGGCAGATAATGATGGCGGTAATAGAGGAGTGTGGGAGGGGCAGGGCTGGCGAGCACACTGGTATTGTCATTCATAGCCTCATTCGTCCTGTTAGCGCCTGTCGTTTATTTCCCCACTGCGTCATTGTCGTTTGCTGTATTATTATATTGTATCCCTCCCCTACAAAAACGGCACCTGTCACCATGTGTGTGTGTGTGTGTGTGTGTCTTTACACTGGGAGCAACACAAAACCTCAGCCTCCTTTTTGGAAATGCAAATGGTATCTATTTGTGGCCCGCTCCTGTCAGAGAGTGGGTGAGCGTATTGAGGGAAGTTTTTGTCTGCAGCTGTGCCAGTGTGCGCGTGGCTACATCTGTGTATGCACGGTGTGTGTGTGTGTGCACATGGTGTTAGCTCGCCTTTGTGCATCACTTTAACACAAAGTGTCTTTGGCTCGGATGCTTGAATCTGTGTCCTTGGTAACAGTGTACTTTGATTCATTTTATTTGTCTGCTCTGCGGCCAGTCAGTATTGACGGCAAGAGTGTTTGAGAGAAATGTCCTCGCTGTCATAGGGCTGTGTGTCGATCTGTGTGTTTACGTCTGTATGTGTGAGGCGAGGGTTGTATTTGTGTTTTTATGCATGCTTCCAACACGTCTGAAACTGCAGCCAAAATGTTAAGCCACGCATCTTTATGAATAATCTTTATTTTCTCTCTCTTTCTTCTTCCACTCTCCTATTTCTCCTCTATCCTCCCCCCTCAGGAGAAGAACAAGGACAAAGACAAACGTTTCCGTCCGCTCTACGACATCCCCTACATGTTCGAGGCCCGGGAGTTCCTGAGGAAGAAGATCATTGGTAAAAAGGTAAGAACCACTGACAGAAATTAAAAACTCCCGAACACTTGTTGGCACCTCGTGTGTTTGCAACTTGATTTGCCTCTAATCAGCTTACATTGAATAAACCAAAAGAGGTATTCTCCCAGTGGCTCTACATGCGCTCAGACACCCTTTCCCCCCCGCACCAGTAGCCTCACCCACACGTTTCTGATGCCCTTAGCTAGATATCTATTTCTCTCCCTCTTTCAGTTTGAATACCAAGTACCCTTGGTAGGTACCCCGGGGCTCGGCATTGGCCCGGGTTCACCCTTTAAACAAGCAGTGTTGATTTCCCCCTCTTGTGTCTATTGATCTAGTGAGTGTGTACACCTAGAGGGCTGCTATGATTTACACACATCTGACCTAGCAGAACCCAGCACTGAACTAGAGAGCACTCGGGACAAAAACCACCGCTTGAACATCTTCCCTTTTTTGTGTACAATTCCAATAAATGAACTGTGTGTTGAGATTGTTTGTCTGAGAGAGCTTAAGAATCTAAATGAGACTTATTGCTTAAATGGTTTAGGTACTAAGGTACTGATTTATTACCAACTCGGTCAGTCGCCAACTTCCCCTTAATCAGAAGACCTCTATTAGTCCAACAGAGGGGACATTTACATTGTTTACCGCACAAGTGAAGAGGCAAAATATGAGTTAAGAGGCATGCATCAAATATTAGAGATAGAAATGACAATTTACAAAGTACCATCCATGTGGACAACAATAAGAACAGCTACAGTATTTACAAAATAATGAGTGTAGAATGTAGTGTGATGGCAGCCAGATAACAGAAGTGAAAGTAAAAGTATATATTGCACAGTTATTTTATTTTGTTACAGTAGCTGAAAAGTCCGACTAAGAAATAGCAGCCAGTGAAATAATTATCATAAAGCGGTGTGTATTCTTGTATTAATATCACTCTATAAGCACAATATGTTATGTATTGTATCTTTTAAGTGTGGCTGTCTCTTCACACTGAAATGCTCTTCAGGTCCACTACAGTGGACATACTGTCAAATCAAAAATAACAATAAATCTTAAAAAGTTTAAATTGCAAGATTTCTTTTTACTCGTACACCAATATGTGTGGTGGTCTATCAGGGGGCCATGATGGTTGTAAAGTCTGACTCTAGCAGGAATATATTATATAATTTAATATTTCAAAATAAAGTTTACCAGTGCAAACTGCATATCTTTTTACGCCTGCGTCCTTAGTAAATCAAAAAATCATTCCTACATTGTTGTCATTGAACATACAGCGGCAGTAATGGCACAGGGAGAGCAGGCGGCATGCCTCCAGCTGTTGTCCACTGGCTGAGTTGAATGATAGTTTATGTTTTGCAAATAACAAACTCAACACTTGTCAGACTCAGAGGACACATATTATAATGGGGACAATTCTGGAAACGATTGGAATCTTTCTTGCACAAACATGGAAATGGTTAGTAAGCAGATTGATGGGAAACTCTGTCAAAATGACATCTGTTGTCAGGAGTTCTCATATACTTACTTATTTATCTCATACATTCAATACTGTTTTGCAGCAAGTATTATATCTCAGGTTTGCACCTTAAACCTCCACAAATCAATTGTTTCTGTTGAGCTGAGAATATACAACACATTTTAGGGCTCCAAATACATTAGACGAAACAAATCTTCCCATTTTACACACTCTAGCAATTTTACAAAGTATAAAAGAAAAGCAAAAAAAAACATTTGCAGCGTGATAAACACAAAAACATGCACCCACTCAGAGCCAAAAGCCAAGAGAGTTCCTTTTGGCATTGAGTACAGGAGTGAGATTCATGTCCCTGTCCCAGCCTCTCATCACACTCATTTTAATCATCCTCATTAATGCTTTTTTAATGACAGAAAATTCAGCCGTGAGCCGGCTTTTGACAAGTGAAGCGGGAATAATGATTCGGCTGTTTATTTGTGGTGTTTGTGTTGGAGGGATAATGAGTGTGCGTGTGATAGGGATAGGCCGACTATGGCCTTTGAAAGGTGTAGAAATGCTCTCCAAAATGTTCCATTAGCATGATGATAAAACGTGTTTAGCTCAGGAACACCAAGCCTTTTATCAAGCCGTATAATTAGTGTAAAGTACCATTTTGGGCTTGTTTCTAGGAGTGTATCTCTGCACTAAAAGAGAGTGGCTTGTGTGTGGTGGGTGTACATGCATGTAGATGGAGTCGTAAAACATGTAATATATGGGCGTTTAGAGCCAGAAGCATGCATGTATAGACAAACCCACTCCTGTTACCGTGGCCATTAGCTGTGTACTCATGCAACCACAAATAGCATGCGTAATGGATGTTTTATCTTTTATAATACTGCTCTATACACAGACAAACTATCTAGACATCGCTCAGATCAATCTTCGCAGCTTTTATACCTGGTTTAATTTCACAGTATTGCTTGTTTTGCTCTAGGGTGTTTCAAAATCAGCTTGGCTCAAATGTTCATTTCCATTTCTCCGGCGAATTGTTGTTTCAGGTGTTTATCGTAGAGGAAAGTACGCATGATTGTCTAAGTGTCAACATGAGTTAGCGTCATAAGCATGGTAAAAGTATGCGTGTATTTTCCCAGAGTGCGTCAGTGGCCCTGGTTACGGTCTGCGTTTAAATTCATCCTGGATGATGCAGGTAGGAGTGCACTCCATGACATGTCGAGAGATGTGATGAGTGAGGCCAGGGTTGCAGGTAGTGGTCCTCAGGGATCACTGTCCATATGCAGAGTGCTTTGAGTGCATATGGAACCTAATCAGTGTTGTAATGTGTGAAAAACAAACAAACCTCTAAACAAACAGTCCATAAATTACAATCTTCTGTTATCCAATGCCTTTATCCATACTCTACTTGACATTTCTCTTAAGTCCCTTCTCCGTCATTACGCTATGTATACTGTATATGTGCATTTGATAAGTATTACAATTTGGTCTCCCAAGGGTGTGCTTATAGGCTCTTAGTAGGGCTCTTGCCCATTTGCCAGCGGGATAGCTTCCCCCTTCCTCAACCTGAAAAATCAATAACCCAAAATCTCTGGAACGTTACTTTATGGTTGCTAAGACACAAGGCTGAAGCTTCAAATTAAGCCCTTTTGTAGCAGTTAATCATCTTTTTATATCAGAGCCCTTAAAAAACTGCAGATTTGTGAAGGTACTGGCAACTTTAGCTGCTGTTCCAACAAACAAGAACTATTTTAAGAAATAATCACAGGCTCTCTATGGGTGGATGTTGTTTCGCGAGAACACTACTTAACCCCTCCGCGTTTTAATGCTAATCTACGCAACCTCGGCATACTTGTGTTGTCAAGTTGGATGCAGGTAGGTGCACAAGTGTACAGATGCATGTTGCACTACCACCAGGAGAGGAGTTTAGTCGACCCACTTACTGTCATCCTGTCTCTGAACACTAAGCTCTGTAGAGACAGATTTGGAGCAGTAAGCATTAGAAGGAGTCTCTAAGACCACTGAGAGCTCCTCTTTTATCTTTCTTTCTTTTTCTTCTCCGACACAGAACGAGACAAGAGATCTTACCTTAGCATGAGGGTAATTGGGCCTGACCCGGTGGTTTTAGAAGGGAAACGTATGTCGGGTCTGGGTCGTGCATGATCTTTTTTTTTTTAGATTTGCATACACAGGTGTAACTGCAGATCACAAAGGTGCATCTTTGCTCAAACTGAAGGTGACCAAAGCTTACTGTCCCATCCAGTCCCAAGGTTAAGGTAACTGTTTGACCTGCAGGTATTCCCCTACACAATATATTCCATTTCAAAGCTCAGAGACTGCCTAACAGAGCAATACAATGCATGCATTGGAAACAAGCAGATTTCCCCTGACTAAAGCTTCCAGGACGTGACTAGGCATTAACTAGGAGTCTCAGTGTGCTGAGCAAAAGCTCAAAGCCCTAATGCCACCGCGCCGCTTTAGGGGAATAAAGCTACATGCCTTTCTTTTTCTATTAAACCTTCATCTCTATAAGGATGGATGGTGCTTTTGATCTTTTATAAAGCATATCTAATATCCATTTTCAAAAGTCTGCCTTTCTGTATTTGATAGCTCTCTGAAGCAGAAAGGGATTGGTGCAATACGGGGTCTAGTCTTAAAAAGAGGATTTTACAGGTATACTCCTACAACCATACATCAATGATCAATTTCATGTAGAACTCTTTTGAATTAAATTTATACTTTTCTTGCCAGCTAAAAGCTACCATAGCTTTTCACTAACTTATCTTGCACTATTCTATTGTTTTTTTTAATCAGTTTGATTGTTTTCGGTCTCTATGTATATTATATTGCATAGTTGGAGGAGCCTCGGACTTAAGATGTTCATTGCCATATTACATTACATTTAGCTGACGCTTTTATCCAAAGCGACTTACAATGACCAATTACAGGGACATTCTCCCTGGAGTAACTGAGGGCTAAGTGCCTTACTCAAGGGCACACTAGTGGTGGTGTTCCAGGCGGGATTTGAACTCACGACCTTCCGATCTTCAGCCCACCTCACTATCCATTAGACCAACACTACCCCATATCCACACTGTAGCTACTGTGCATATGTCAATAAAGCCTTTGAATCTTTCATTTGATTCTTAGACAAAGTCAAATTGAGAGGACATGTGTAGCCATCATTGAATAAATCATTTTATATTAGTGAAGACTTCTTCTGAACTACCCTGTTAAGGAGACTAAATCTGCACTGTTTCTCTTTTTCCCTTTTTCTCACTGTCACGTCTGTCTGTTTCCCTCTCTCATATATATATATATATCCCACCCCTATTGAAACGGTAGCGTTTGCATGGTGACATAATCCCAAAAAGCTCGATTTGGCTAACTTTATAAGTAGCGCTTCTTGTGCGCCCGGGTCTCAGCCTCAGCAGAAAAAAAGTCCACTGCAAATGTTGCATTAAGCCACTTATCAGGGTTGAGCACATTCGGATAATCCTGCGTGCTCAAAGTGGCTCCTGTTATGCAGCTGCTTGTGTAGTACTGTCAGCGCCAGAGTTCCCCCTCTTATTGGTGGGAATGCGGTGTGTGCAATAAGGTATTTGATCTGGTGTGTGTTTGTGAGACCTCATTCGGGGGAAAGCTTCAGGTGCAAGCAGATGCAAATTATACCTAAGCATCGCCAGGTCCAATAGTTTAAATCCAGATGGGGCTCCCTCTCCTCACTCCTTCCCTCGTTTTATCCTTACCTTGTGCAGTTTTTTCCCCTTCCTGTAAAGCTAACTTCATTGAATTGTCACAGCATGCACAACAGCAACTAAAGCCCCTCATGTCCTAAGATTTTTTTATTCAAACTCTGATTGGCTGATGTCCCCTAGGCAACACCTGCATGTCTAATATTTTCAAAGGTAAGGTACAGATTCTGCTCTTTGATAACAAATTGCTCGGCACCAATATATCCCTTATTTTTTTTAATTTATTGGCAGATCACTTTAAAACATTGCAAAAAATAAACCGCCTGTTGGTGAGAAAGATAAAAGGGATCAGGTGACAGGTGCTTATTTTAGTTTGAAGAAACCTCCTACTCTTTCACCGTATTCTGTCCTGAAAACGGCTCTAGCTGATCATACTGAGCTTTGATTACTGATGTTCACGGTACAGCACAGACAGGCATACTTCTAATATCATAGTTCAGCATAAGGTCTCTGTAAAGGTCTTGGCAATTAGGACCAAATTGTTGAAACTCATTTTTAGCAAGCATTGCTTTAGTAAAAACATCTGTTTATTATTAGCTGTAACCTTTGCATGCATACACCTTGATACGTCATTTTACCATGTAGACAATGCTGTAATGTAGTGTGGTATATTTACCTAAGTATTGTACTTCAGTATGGTTTTGGGGTACTTTGAACTTCACTTGAGTATTTTTATTTGATGTTACCTCATACTTCTACTCCTCTAACATTTGGAAGCCACAGACAGCCACTTCATTTTTGGGGAAAAAAGTAGTTAATAATAATAATAATAATAATGACTTTAAAGATATTGGCTAAACAAAATATGAAAAAACAATGACATATAAACTATAGGTTGAGATATTTCCAGCAGCAGTCCAACATCCACGTTTAACAGCTGTGATGAACCCAATAATGCATCAAAAAAATGTATCCAGTCATTTAACATATGTGATTTTAAAAAGGGACATTATGCAAAATAAGTACTTGTACTTTTGGACTTTGACTTGTAACAGTGTTCTTACACTGCAGTATTTCAAATTTTACTTAAAAAACGTCCACATAAAACTGTTATTACCCGTTCAAACATTTTACAAACATGTCTCCCTGTGCTGTTGTCGCCTCAGCGTAACAAAAAACATTCTGTCTCACACTTGTCCTGCTGTCCTTATCACTCCCCCCACTTTCTAATCCAGCCACTGCCCCCCCCCCCCCCCCCCCCCCCCCGCCTCACGCTCCTCTGGGGGGGTTCTTTATAGATAGCTTCACCTTATCAGGGGATCGGTTAGATGGCCCGTGGAGAATGGGTCTGGAAAGCCTCTAGTCTAACATCGCTTGGTCAAAGTTTATAATCTGTCATCACCCCGCTTAATGGGGAACTACTGGTTTCAGAGCTTCCTGTATTGTTTTCTGCTTGTGGGCTTCAATCTCATCCTGAAATCTGCTTTTTTTTTTGCAAAGGCTTTTTCATTTTTTCCCATTTAATTTCATCTAATGTTGTCCTCTCGAAGCCAACTTGCATTCTTCCTGTTTTTCATTGCTTTGTTTGTACCACTTTTCAATTACCCACGCCTGGCAATGCTCAGCCATTAAACTGAAATGTAACCAAGAAGAGCCCAAATGGGTTTTTTCTCTCTTCATTTGAACGGCTTCACTTTTCAATAAAGCTGAATAGACATGAAACTATGTCACTATAGGGTTACGAGGAAATGAACAGCTTTGATGTGGGAGTGAGGATAACATAATTTCCTTCAAGACAATGAGGATGGGTTATTTGCATGGCTACAAAATTAATGACTTTGGCAACGAGGATATTGCATAATATTCTCCGGCTGACGAGATCACAAACCAATTCTGTTACTGATTGTACGACAGCATTTGAGGGCTATTAATTTACATTACACTGCGAGGGGATATTTATTTTGTAAGCTAATACCGTTAGGATTATAATGCTGTCTCATAAACGTTGAATAAAATGTGTTGGGTTGCATATGCTACTGCTAAATGACTACTTTAAGTATGATTTAGCTAGATATATCCTTTCCTTCGTGAGAACATCAAAAAACGTTCTCAATCTTACACCTTTTCATTTTTGGGCTATAGAAGTTTCCGATACTCTTGTGCATGTATGGGCGCAGTCCTCCATCATCCATATCCTGGTTTATTGTTTTCTTTTCTGTCTGCTCTTGAAAAGCAGACGCCACTTCCAGCTGAACGCCACACTAGGCCACATCTATTCTGCGTTGACAGGAGCTCTTCTCTCCCCTTGCTCCCGTCACCATGTTCCCATCCCGTCCATCTAATGACAAGCCGGCGTCGCTGCGTGTCCTGCTCTTTCATGTCCCTGTAATAGGCCTGTCTGCATTGTCTCTATTTGACTTGTGTCTACGCTTTGATCCACTGCCAGATCCCTACTTTTTTTACATTTGTTTTTCTTCCCATTACACTTGCTTGACTCGTAGATCTTAAACCTCCAATAGTGTGTAGATATACAGCTGCATCCCTGCTGTTAGCGTCGTCTGTCTGCATCTGGGCCACAGAGCAGGCTTTCCCCGTCACATCCCTGCGGATATACACACACACACATACACACACACACATACACACACACACATACACATACACATACACATACACACGAGTGACAAAAATGCATCTTCAGGGTGGGTGGATTGGAGTCCATCCCCAGGGAGCTGCGCAGTGTAGGGTCATTTGGGTTCCATCAATGTTCCCTCTGTGTGTGTTTGTGTGTATTGTCCCAAACACCCACAGTGTGTTAATAGCGTTCCCCTAGGGATATCTACAGTGCTCCATGATGTGATTCACACTGACTGGGGATGACCTTGAGAACTAGGACACACACACACACACACACACACACACACACACACACACACACACACACACACACACACACACACACACACACACACACACACACACACACACACACACACACACACACACACACACACCACACACACACACACACACACACACACACACACACACACACACACACACACACACACACACACACACACACACACACACACACACACACACACACACACACACACACACACACACACACACACACACACACACACACACACACATTTTACTGTTGCTACTCTGTTTGTCTCAGTACTTGTTGCATGTTTTTTGACTTCTCTTCTCTTGCTTTGATCCTTTAGGTCAATGTGACAGTTGATTACATCAGAGCAGCTACCGGCCCAGGAGAAAGCACCCCCGCATTCTCAGAACGCACCTGTGCTACAGTCACTATTGGCGGCATGTAAGTACCACACTGAATAATCAACTTTCATTAAGTGTAGTCTATTCAGGATATTTCTCTATTTGCTAATTGTAATTATAAAAAATAAATAAAATATACTTTATTGATCTGAATTTGAGACATTTTCTCATCACAGCAGCAGGTAACAAGGCATTGCACACAATGTGAAAAGTACAAAAACACAGACATAAACATAAAATATTAACATCTCAAAATAGAAAATAAAACGGAACTTAAAAGTAAATATAAACATATTGACCAAATGAAGGGCCAGTTACAGCTAACAAAATATAAAAGTAGGACATTATTAACATTGATTTTGATTTAATATACCATTTCTTGCACACTCAATGTACAAGGTATAGTGTAAAGACATTTTACACAGATGGACATCTTATGGTAATGATTAAGAAGAGCTCACTCTTCATGTAACTCTTTATATTTTGCACTATTTTGTTGTACAATTGAACTTTCTTGTTTATTTTCTTTAGTATATTGTGTGTTGCACTGTTAGAGGAGCCTCAGACATTTTCGTGGCAATCACCTGCACTGTGGCTATTTGATAATAAAGCCTTAGAATCCTTTTGAATCTTAAAAGCACAACATATAGGGTTTCCCTTAAAACAATGTAAAGATAATAACAAAACGCACCCCTCCGGGTCCCCAATCTTAAGCACCCATGCTAGAGGAAATAGCATTATGAGACTGCAACCAAAACAAATCCTACATATTGTGCCTTTAAAACTTGAATTAAGGTTATGTTACCAATAAGCTGCACTTGCACGGATATCATACAGCATCTAATTGTCAGCGTCGGGGGCTTCAGTAGCACATTTATTTTAATTACAACAGCTGTGTCCCTTTTGTAAAACCTAATTCTTCAGATGTAAAACAACATAAAATAGACAAAATTGTAAATGCTCAGAACTTGTAATCTCAGCATGAATCACAAAGTAAGCTGAAAAGGCTTCTTTGTGTTTCCATTTTCACAGGAAGTGTCGCCTCAGTGCAAGCAATTATTTTCTATCTACAAACAACCCTTTGAGGGAATCTGGTTTATCTGTCAGAAACACAGACTTTCCACAGTACCACAGATCTTCTGTTATTAAAACTACTCGGAGGTTTCAATTCAATCAAAACCGGATGGAGGAGCTTTAATGCCGCGTGACTTGAAATAAACCATCAGAAGTCCGTTCTCGCCCCAAAAAGTAGTCAAAGGCCACACGTATCTTCTGCGTTCTTCTGTCTGTCTGGCTCGATGGCACAAAGCAGAGTTATATGCGCATGATAAAAATGGATCCCTGTTGGTCATCAACAGTCATGTATCTGCATGCATACACAAAGGTCAGGACCCGACCTCGTGACCAGTCAGTTCCTCCCCAGCATTAGCCAGCTGCACCCGCCACTCCGCTCCACAGTGAACAGTTGGCATGCACCCCCCATGAAGGCTGAGGTCAGGGGGGCAAATGTTTTCAACCTTTTACGTCATATAGTGTATTAAATATATAATTTCTCTGCTTGTGGTAAGAGAGTTAGTTCTTGGCAGCGCATCTATGAGAAGAAACGGGCTCTGCTTGAGATTCATTAAGCTGTGTGAAGTGATAAAGGTTAACCAACCAGAAGAAGACAGGAAGTAGGGGTGAGCGATATCACCCTTAAATCATTTCACCACATTTGTGATTATTCTTGCAATCACCGCTCGATTTACAATATGCCAACAATACTGAGTTTTTAAAATAATGAATTATTAATTATTGAAGGACCCACACAATTTCATTAGAATAAGTCTCTAAAAAATAAAGTATATCAGATGTTATAGTTTTGTGTCCACATTACAGAAACAGTATGCCTCAAATATTCTATCAATCTCTGTTTTCAATAACCGTTTCTGTACTGTAAGTGCACATTGAATGTTCTTTTAACCTCCATAATATTTATATATTTACTATTATTTTGTTAGTTTTGCTTTAAATGATTTGAATAATAACTGTATTATATGCTGGAATACCCCAAACAGGAAGTCCTCCCTGTATTATATCCCATACCCAATGATTCAAAATGTCCTTTTCTCATTTATTTCCGCTCTCTCTTTTAAACAACAAATCAAGTGTACCAAGTGTTGATGTAGGAAAAAGGTCAGAGAAAACATTTGATTCGAGACAACAAAGTCTATAATATCATCATGCCTGCAAAATGGAGACAGAAAAATGCACTCAATGACACAAACTCACTTTTGAAGAGTTTACTTCATTCCCTTCATTTCTTTTGTCCGCACATCAACCAGAACATCGATGTCCAAGGGCTAGCCACTAAGTGCTGCACTAAGTACAACAATACTCTCCTCTTTCTGCCCTTCATCCTTTCTTCTTCAGTACATCCATAACGCAGCGAGGAAACGGTTAGTCAAGTGTGCAATGTCAACATTTAAGTGACCTTTGTTCATTTGCTAAGCCACCGTTGGGATTCGTCATGGTTTTTCTTCCCCCCGTTGAGCTGGCTTACTTAGGATTCAGTGTGAAGCCGAGCCGTTTTGCTTGTTGGTTTTTATTAAAGTAATCTCTCTCTCTTTCCCCCCCTCCCCCCCCCTCTTCCTACAGTAACATAGCGGAGGCTCTGGTCAGTAAAGGCCTGGCCACATGCATCAGATACAGGCAGGATGACGACCAGCGCTCCTCCCACTACGACGAGCTGCTTGCCGCAGAGGCTCGGTGAGACACTCACACTCACACACACACACACACACACACACACACACACACACACACACTCACACTCACACTCACACACACACACACACACACACACACACACACACACACACTCACACACTCACACTCTCACACACACTCACACACTCACACACACACACACACTCACACACACACACACACTCACACACTCACACACTCACACACTCACACCATCTCCCTTTCACCTGAGCCTTAAAGGCAACATTTTGCACACTAATCTCTTACACAAAACATTTTTACACAATCACTCTGCCATCCACGATTTCTGCATGACCTTGAAAAATGTTGCTCTTTGGAAGAGGAAATGAATTGTTATGACCTTGAGGCTTTTTTTCTTTCAATTACTTTTGCTATTTCATCCAACATGGCTCAGGAGAAGCAACTCTAAATAATAATTATTACTATATAAATATTATTACAGGCACCATCATAGGTCACAGCTCATCACAGATCCACAGAAAAGATGTTCTTGCTCTCACACATGCACACATCTTTCCCTCTTTTTTCATTATTTGATACATATAAACATACATGCCTATACATGCAGCTTCCCAAGCGCTCTATCAGAGGCTCCCTTTACACAGGCCCTATGAATATAATGATATGGAGGTGCAGTGGAGAGATTTAGTACAGGCTTTATTGCTCTGCTATAGATTAAGATCTGCTGGCTATAGGTAGAGCAGATGCAGCCCCAGCCTCCTTTTATTGGACTCTCCCCCCCCTTCCTCCCATGCAGTGTCACTGCCCAGCCACCCTCCTTTTTCTACTCTCACCTCATCTTTTTTGTTGCACATTTTGTCCTTATTTCTCCTCCTTTTTCAATGTTGTCCTTCTTTGGCCTGGCTCGCCTTCTGTGTCTCTCCCACTTCTCTATCTCTCTTCCTCCCCCCCCCCCTTCTCTCTGTCCCTGGCGAGGTGTTCTTAGAGTTGATGAGAGGTTTCTGTCTATAGCCTCCATTTGTATTTTTAGTTCCCGTTGCACGAGGTCAACGACCTGCAGTCTTCAAGAAACCTCCTCCAGGCTATTAAACACGCTTATATACACGCTCTGCATAAATGCACACGCTCCATCATAGAGTCAATGACCTGCTTCCCAGTGACCCATAGGTGGCATTATCCCACCCCTCAACCACAGTGGTCATCTTCATCTCAGCCGGCCCTTGAGGCTTTTTAAAGCGCCGGTCACTAGCACCAGTGATCATCGCTAAAGCCCTCGCCGGCACTATACAAGCAACCCCTTTCTCCCCATCCTTCCATTCTAACAATAATTTCTTCTTCATCATAATTTCTTCTCCACCATTTCCACTTTCATCTCACGCCCATAGATTATCTGGGTGGGGAAAAAACCCTCCCCCTAGCACTTCCCGTAAAGCCATAATGGCATTTCAGCTGTAGGGGAAAAAAAATGGTTTGAATTGACTTCTTCACAAAGCCACAATGGCTCCCTCTTTGTATCTACAGATATCTACAGCTCCCATTTCTCAAGGTCTGCTTGGCCTGCAGCATTATGCTTTCTCCATGTGTTATGATGATGTTTGAGCTATATTTGTGGTTTGTAGGGCCATCAAGAACGGGAAAGGGCTGCACAGCAAGAAGGAGGCTCCCATCCACAGAGTGGCTGATATCTCTGGGGTAAGTGTCTCATTTGGTTATGTATGCACAGGTTTTCTTACACAAGAGAATAAAAGCATATCCAGGATCAGAATCCTGAAAAAGTTTATTGCCAGGTGTGTTTACACATACAAGGAATTTGCTTTGGTGTATGATGGTGCAAACATAAGAAAATAAATTGTAAGAGAAGGTTACAAATATAACGATTTAAAAAAATATATATATATATATAAAAAAACAAAACTATTTAGCATTACAAAAGAATAAAGACAAGTATTTACATCAAATTTAAATATACAAAAGAAAGGGAAAAAAATGAATATATGACTAACTGTTATATTTTAAAGTAGAGGGCTGTGCAGAGATGTGCAAAAATATATTCAGGGAGATGAACATGGCTCACTGTATTTACAAAGAAAAGGACAATATGATGTGTTACATGATGTGTAACTGAACAAGCATCTCTCAAAATGCACTTTTTTTAAACCATGGACTCATTTACACACTCAACCCCCATGACACTCAAAGATCATCGATGCCCAAAAGCTACCGCCATGTTCCGCCACATGCAGTAACTCTCAGGAGACGATCCATAATCCTCGGCTCACCACCCCTTCCCCGATCCTCACAGCCGGTTTCCTCATCTTACAGAAACTAAGCGGCCTCTAAAAATAATCAGCGCCATTAATAAAACCATCAGCGGTGCTCGGTCCTAGCTTGTTTACGCGTGCCCAGGGGCTTGATGGAGGCATCATTTGGCTAATGAAGCCTGATTGGGAGTGCTCACAAAATGAACATTAGCGCGGGGAACCCATAAAATCTCTCAGTAACAAGTAATGGCCGATTGGTACGCATTGTTTCGAAGCGTGTGTTTGTTCTCACAACCATGATCCCCTTTGTGTTTTCTCTTCATCTCGCGCTCGCCATATTCTTCAATCTTTAAAAGCCGGGCATGTTTGCGTTCAATTATTAATTGCAAAGACACTCCTGACAACAGTTAATTTTCGAATTAAAGTAAAAATGTTAATTTGTGTGTGTGTGTGTGTGTGTGTGTGAAAATGTTCACAAGAGATTTCGTCCTACATGGCTACAGGCGGTCCCAGTACACTTCTATACCCTAGTGCAGTCTTCATGAAGTCGCTATAGGCTGCAGTGTTGTAGCTGTCTAACATTGTCAAACTGAGTGGTTGGCTGAGATGAGCTCACATGGAGGGCAAGGCAGTGTAAATGTGCTGATGACACGCGCACACACACACACACACACACACACACACACACACACACACACACACACCTATAACGGCCATCAATGCTAGCTAGGTAACAAACAATTCTTAGTTTTAACAATACATTTTTTCTCACCAATTCAGTGGCTTTCTGCTGCTTTCAGTATACTGCCAGAATACAACAAATTCCTTGTATAATAAAAAATATGAAAGGAAATGATTGACAACACCCTTTTATTGAATACATGTTTGAACTTAGCAAGCCACAAGTCACAACATTCAAAAAAGCCCTCAAAACTGAACACATTTTTTAAACTTTCTATTGATTGAAAAAAGATCACCAATATTGCAATTAAAATCTCTATTGTGACAATATGACATTGCAATGATATAAAACAACAAAAGTAACACAAATGCTTTGACATTATTTCATTTCAAACCTTTTTAAGAGCCTTTTATACATCTCTCTACTTCCACCAGCCATCTCCTTATACATTTTCATAAGCCACTACATGAGCTACAGTGAATGACTCAAAATTGAACTTGAGAAACATTAGCATCTCATTGTCTCTCCCACAGGAGCTCTCTTGTAGTACTTAGACTCGTAGGCTCTAGAGAGACATTTGGTTAAATTAATCAAGTCCTCTTTTTCTGTATCAAATTGTAGCTCCACCAGATTTGCCGGTCATGCACAAGCCCTGCAGGTTGCTGTTTAAAGTGTCATCAGCCCACGTTGGAACAGAGGCATTCAGCCAAGTTATTAAAGCTCTTTAGCACCAACAGGACTTTAGTGTCCAGCTAATAAGTCCAACACGGCTCTGCATTACCGCTCTCAGATGTTCTGCTGTTCCACATTGTCATCATCGTAATCTCCCTGCGCGTTATTGTGTCAGCAGGGCAGATCAATTCCCGGACCTTGTAAAAAAATAATTATGACAGGGAATTGTTATGCTGACTGAGCAGCCCTGTGCTTTTTCTTCAGGGGTTTATAAGTGCATTTTACACTTATAAACCCCTACAACTTAACTGACCACTTTCTATGTGCAGCAATGAATATATGCAGGGAGAGGGAGGTGCTCAATAATGAACTTTAATAATAAGAAAAAGCAATATATACAACGCCAGACATCTCACTCATTAAAGACTGTCTTAGTACTGGTAAAACGGCTATTGCTAAGAACTGTCTCAAGATTTCAGCACCAGACTATAGACAATGGCTGAATGCTATAGGTTCAGCCATTCACTGTTCTCTTTAAAAGGAAAGGAATGTTTAACTGTCTGTAATCAGATAGATAGAATAATTTCCCAAGTTGGGATAAATGAGTTATTTATCCATCTATCTGTCATAACAGCAGTGTCAAGCAATACAAAAGTTAAACATATTTAAAGGATACAATAAGATACAATTGTAATTTAAAAAAATGTCTTCTACCTTGTTCTTCTACTCTACTACAATTCAAAGGTAAATATTGTACTTTTACTCCTACATTTATTTAATACCTTTAGTGACTTTGCAGATTTGGATTAATAATGTGAAATAAACAACACTTAAATAAGACTTTAGTTCCACTTGGAGTAATAATAATACAATTAGTACTTTTACTCGAGTACTTCTCACACCTTTGGCGGCAAGTATAAACAGTACAAATTAAAATCAACATCAGCAAGTATATACAAATTCACAATAGAAAGGACATAAATCAGTATGCAAGTAATACACAATATAAGGAAAATATTGAATAAATTACCCTTTAAAGAAAGAAAGAAAAGTTATAAGAAAAAAAACTGTCCAGTAACCCAGCACACACGTTACATTTTAGCATGATTTTGCTGCGTCATGCTTTTCTCCCGGAGTGTGTGTTTGTGTGTGCCCATGCCCATCTAAACCCTCCCCTTGTTAGTGCCAGCCCCGTCAGTGGTGTAGGTCAGTGCCATTATGAGCAGCTCCTCCTCTCTCCAAGTATTCCGTGTGTGTGTGTGTGTGTGTGTGTGTGTGTGTGTGTGTGTGTGTGTGTGTGTGTGTGTGTGTGTGTGTGTGTGTGTGTGTGTGTGTGTGTGTGTGTGTGTGTGTGTGTGTGTGTGTGTGTGTGTGTGTGTGTGTGTGTGTGTGTGTGTGTGTGTGTGTGTGTGTGTGTGTGTGTGTGTGTGTGTGTGTGTGTGTGTGTGTGTGTGTGTGTGTGTGTGTGTGTGTGTGTGTGTGTGTGTGTGTGTGTGTGTGTGTGTGTGGTGTGTGTGTGTGTGTGTGTGTGTGTGTGTGTGTGTGTGTGTGTGTGTGTGTGTGTGTGTGTGTGTGTGTGTGTGTGTGTGTGTGTGTGTGTGTGTGTGTGTGTGTGTGTGTGTGTGTGTGTGTGTGTGCTAATGTAATGAGCATTCGAAAAGGACCAAAATAGCAACATTGCCCCCCTTCCTTTCCCTCTTTCTTTTCCCTTTCTCCTGTGCTACACGCCCACACACAACTGTACACGTGCAGCCCCCCCCCCTCATAGAAATACACACTACCATACGTCAGCATCCTTCAGCTAGGTTTGCTGAAAGGGATTATGTACATTGAGTGGGATGCAGTCGCAAATAGCGCAGAGATAGGTTTATAAACGTACGGTGTCGGAGATGAACAGAGGTGGTGGGAGGAGAGTGGATAAAGCACTTGACTCACCTCGTACCTCTAAAGGTTGCATAATGAGGTCCTCTCTCATGTCTCTTCCCTTTTTTTTTTTCTTGAACCAAGTTAGACTGCACGGCCCACTCACTGCAGGTGCTGTGAATGTGTTTGTGTGAATGTTTGCTTCTGTTGTCTCCCACTCGAGAGGCTATTTCGGACCGCAGTGGGTGGAGTTCAGGTGGCGCTTCTTATGGCTAAAGCACGTACCCTTTTGCTCACAACCGCATGTGTTCTAGTCCCACCGGTGACTCGGGATGCATCTGTCTCTCCTGCTGTTGCTGTTTTCTGTCGTCTATAACACTAAAAAAAAAGAAAACTCCCAAAAATGTCCTATCAGTGATTTCTTAAATCGTAGAGATCTGACTTTCCTTGTTTGAACTTCACTCTGATCACTGACACACGCAGACGCGCACACACACACACTCTTCCCTGGTCCACGACTCATTGTTGTCCCTAAATGCTCACGTATTCATTTCTTTTTTATCGAGACCGAATCTGCCACTGCACCACCAGCTCTGCCTTGAGCATAATTTAGCTCTGCTTGTAATTTTGGCACGGGCACAACACAAAAATCTAGTGACTCACCGTTGCAGACGGAGGCAGGAGGGGAGAGCATTTATTTTTGATTGCACAAATTAGCAGACGTGTCACAGAGGAGCGGAGGACTTCATTAGGCCAGAGTGAGATTTAAAGATTCCTGATAAAAGCCCGCAGATCCCGTCGTCAATTAACATATTAAGTTTGTATTTTTTATTTTGTCTCATTTCATTCATTTGTTTTCTGTCGGTGCTGTATACGTGTCACACATTTGGTATCAAATGTTTTATTTTTGTCTCCAATAACTTGAAAAACTCAATTTGATATCCACGTAGTTTTCTTTTATACATAATGAATGCATCTGATATCAAATATTGTTCACAACCGCCAGGGGGGCGTCTTGCCGTCATTTGACGGCCTTATTCAGCTCGGAACGCCCTGAACTCGAGCCGAGGTCGTCCAAAAAAAAATCGCGACGAAAAGGACAAGGACATCCCTCTGTTGGAGGGGCAAAGGAGCCTGGTGGGATTCTTTTCGGAGTATTGAAGATCGTTTCCCCGACATCGGCCTCTTTTCAACTTTTCGTATCTTGGACAACATGGAAAGTGCGCGATTCTGACGCGATGAGAGGTGGAGCACGCGCGTAAACTGCGAGCACCGGAGCCTCGCAGCGGCGAAACTGAGGCTCCGGGATAAACTGTGAAAGAGCCGGCTCTTCTTCTTAGTGAGCCGAGCCAAATGATCCGGCTCACTAAAAAGAGCCGTAATTCCCATCACTAACGTAAAGAGATATTATCTATATGGGATGGTTCAATTCAAGTCACGTGACACAACGTGCTTGTTTTGCCGTGCACAGAGAAAGGTGTCATGTGATCGGCTCTCCTGATCGGCCTTTATAGAGAGCAGTGATCGATCGGCAGAGAGTGAATATCGGCCGATAACGATCGGCGGCCGATCGATCGGAGCATCCCTGATTTAAATACCACGTCCTTATTTACTAGAGAGCGACAAAAGCTTATAAAAGGGTCTTTCTTTAGGCATTATCTAACCTCTTTCTTTTTGTCCATTAGGATACACAGAAAGCCAAGCAGTTCCTGCCCTTCCTGCAGAGGGCCGGCCGCTCAGAAGCTGTGGTAGAGTACGTGTTCAGTGGCTCCCGCCTCAAGCTGTACATGCCCAAAGAAACCTGCCTCATCACCTTCCTCCTTGCCGGTGGGTAGAGCTTTTTCTTTGTCCGGTGTGAAGGTCACTTCTTTCTAACCCGCTCAATCTGTGCGTACAGGCATTGGTTGCTGTTATGTGAAAGTTCTTTGACATATCATTTAGTAAGAAAGTGTTTGTGTGGTGCAAAAATCCTCCATACTCTGACTTCTGCCGGATCAGAGCTCAGGCTTTCCTATCACCTCTCAGCAGGCAGGGCTTACGGGCCAAACAGTGTAGCTGGGTATGATCAGTGCTGGGGTAGTTACTAATGCATTACACATTATAGTTACTTTCCTTAATTATTCACTGCTGTAAGTAACTAGTTACACTACTAGTTACATTACTTTTGGACTACTCTGTAACATCGCCAAAGATGCACCATAAATCAAATAACAACATGAAGTTAAACCTCATTTATGCCAGATCAGCACAAATGCTTAATGTAAAAAGGACAATACTGAACACAGACCGCCGTTTCTGCTCTGTTTCATCATCAGTTTTCTTTTGCTCAGTTTCCATAACACTGGTCCAGGTAGCTGGCAAATGTGTTCCTGTCTGATGGCGGCAGCCCCCCCCGTTACCTTTATCTTGCTCAATATGATTGGGAAAGATGGCGAGATGATTGGGAAAGATGGCGATTCCACCGTCAAAACGGGCAACATCTCCTCCACGATGTACGCTGCGACAAGCCTGTTTATCTCTGCTGTGAGAGTCTGTCTCCTCATCCATGAACTCACGAGTGTAGCGCAAGCTAAAAGGGACGTTTGATTAACTTTTTCTGTACTCCCGTTAAAGTACTGCAAAAAACGAGATAATTTCATGCTTAGTAACTGTAATGTGATTACTGCTGTTATCACCAGTAATGGGTTACTTTTCTTTGTTACAGACAAATGTGTTTTGATTACAGCAGCTCGTTCAACTCTCAGCAGGCAGGACTTGCTGGTCAAAGGCGAAAGCTGATGCACAGACCTCAGACCCCCCTCTTTAAATAACCTCCAGGGTCTACGTGATGCGTGTCCCCTTTAACCTCTCCTTCCCTTCTCTGGCTCTCTGCCAGGTTAAAAAAGACTCATGCTTTTCTCCACGTCTTTTCTGTTTTACCGTAGTGGTCATCTTCATTAGGAGCTGGCCTCCGTGTCTAGGTAAAGAGAGATTTAAACTCCAGACGATGGGCAGCTACTATCAGATCAAATGCTGTTTCAGCTTGGTAAAAACAAGTAGTATTTTTGTATTGTTCCATCCCTATTTTAGGGAAAGTGTCCCTGTCTCAGGTGAAAGTTAATGTGTACCGCTTGGCTTCGTTCAACAGTTTATCATTCTTAACTGTGTTTGTCTTTGCTAGTCTCCTACCTGATGAGCACATTATGAATCGTAAAGAAAATGAGCTGCTACCATCAGTTGATTAATCGTTCAGTCAGTTCAATACATCACAATGGGTTATTATTAGATATGATAATAAGCATTTACCGCTATTTTGTGACTAGACAAATCGATTATCTTTGAAATAATTAGCTGATTAACAGATATAACATCCAAGAACAGGAGTCTTCTTTTAGCATTACTGTTGTAGCATGAGACAATAACAGTAGCTGAGGGGTAAGATGCAGATGGGATGAAATACACACCGTTTGATAGCAGGTCTAGTCATTTATTCTTCGCTCCTCGACCGCTTTGACAGTTTGCACTAGCAATAAAAACACTGAGACTGTATCTTTGGCAGCCAACAATGATTTGCACATCCTTTCAGATCATGGCAATGGTGAGAATGCTTATCCCCTTCCACAACGGATGACACCCTTTGTTATAGTCGCCATAAAACCCGTTTCAATCCATCTTCGTTTCAGCCCGAGCCATACTGTTCCTCTCCATTTGCAGCAGGACAAACACCATGCATTCCACACAAACACTCAGATTCAGTTTAATTACGCGTGGCTGAATTGTCCATGCATTCATTAATTTTTTTATTTGCTTCCGATTGTCTTTGCCGTCCGCTGATGGTTTTTGCGTAATTGCATCGTTTTTGTTCACTGCCTGCTACAAGATGTATTGACATGACCCGAGACTGCAATATGGGATCATGCAATATTTTTCAAATGCTTGGTTGAAATGTCAGGTGTGTGTGTGTGTGTGAGCTGGCGTTTACTTTTGGAAGGGTTTTATTTAATCAAAGGTTATTAGAAAATGATAAGAAGCACATTAGAGCTGATGGCCTCGGAGCGTATTTGATTAAGGTCGTCCCCCAGAAGAAAAGATTCATCTGCTGAAAATGAGAAGACACATCTCGTCTTTTAATAAACACATTAGGCTGGATTAGCCCTGATTGATACACCTTATCCACTATATGTTCTGTATGTTTAACCTCTATTCCCATTAGAGTCCTTTATATCACAGGAAGGTGTGTAGGTGCTTTTCTGTCGCCTCATTGTCACTCTTCTTTCAGATATGGGATGTTTACGAGATCAAATATTATATCTGGGGGGTCATAGCCTCTCTGTTTCGATGCATGTATGTTGCACGCTTTTCTTTATCTGATGTAAAGCCTTTAACCATACATAAAATGATTCCTGTAGGCACATCGCCTTATTATCTCCAGCACCTCTAATCTCCAAGCGCTTCCCATCTCCTTTCACTTCCTCTTTCCTGTCAAAGTTATCTTTTCGTGTTTTATTCACCTATCTGCTCTGAGAGCTGTGTTTGAAATGACACGTACATGATAAATCGGCTGCTTCAAGCCTCTCTGTTTATCTGTGTATGAAACAGCAGAAGCCCCCTTTGACCTTTTCTCTTCAAACCCTCTCGTAGCTTTGACGGATAATGAGGTGTGTTGTATCCGGTTATACATCTTTCAGATTTGCTCAATATTTTAAAAGTGAATCGGCCAATCTTTATAGAAGCGGCATTTCTTTATCATGTTTGGATATAGTTAAATATGTTTAATTGAATACCAAATGTTGAAATCCTTGTAAATGTTGAATGGATAATGCAAACTCAAATCTATAATGCATTGTAAGCCCTCATAATGTTTTATAACCAGAGTCTAAGGCTATGACTTTAATATTTTAGATCAAATATCACAGTAGGTTATGATTGCACCATTCATTTTGTAACAAAGTTCATAAGCTGAGCCCCATGCTTGATAATAGTACATTTCTCTCAGTAAACATTGACTACAGTCAAATGGAAAATATATTCAAACGGTGTCAAAACAAGTCCTGCATTACTCATCGGTTTCATTAGCCTCGGTTTCTTCATACTGAATTCATCACAGTCACATTTATTATTCTTTAACAATGTCGTGGGAGGCCACTGAAGAACAAACTGTTTACAGTAGAGCTGCGAATGAAAGGCAGTAAAAAGATGTAACGCAGCAAGTCAAAATTATAATAGCAAACACGCACCACATGCATCTTTGAATCTGATCCACCTGCTTGTTTAGCCAGCGGCGTCTTTTCTCCTTCTTTCAAACATATTATTTGTCCTGATTTGATACGGAACCCCCGTTCATTGCTTTCTTCCCCAGTGAGGAACCTCAAAGCCTCCCCTTCCTGCTCCTGACTTTTTACTTGATGGATAAAGACATTGGTTATGAAAAAAAAAAGAGGGGTGAGGAAACAAAGGGTAGCATGAGAAGCCTTTGCTTCAAAGCGGGCCGGAGGTGTTCTCCAGGACTTGAAGGCAAGTTCCCTTTCCTCTCCTCCCACATCACCTCACCTTTCTTCTCCTCGCTCGCTGGCCCGCGCCGTGGCACTTCCGTATGCAAGTTTGATAAAGGGTAAGGGAGTCATCCTGCTTCCTTAGAGCAAAGGGATTTAAGAATGACGCGAAAGGGGGGCTAGAAGACTGATAAAAGGAGGAGGAGGTGAAGCAAGAGCTGTGGAGGCAGAAAGGACAGGGGAGGGTCAAAGGGAAGACAAAAAAAGTCCAATTGATGTGGGTATAGAGGCCCGTTGAAGCAGTGAAAAGTCCATAAAAGTTTACTAGCTTCAACAGAGTTTCCGATGGAGGCCACAGCAGGTGGAGCGTACTTTTACATTTGCTCACAGAGGTGTGTTGAGCAGCAGTCTGTCGGAAAGATGAAACACCCATCGCTCGGACACAAAGATTTACAGTGTCAGCAAGAAGCCTTAGCCCCCTCGGTGTGTGGCTTAGTGCCGTTTGTCAGATTTTCTGTGATATGTGTGTGCGGCCGGCAAGTACACCTCCTGCAGTGAGTGACTGCTGGAGATGCTTGAGGTGGCGCAGGACATTTTTAGACTTGTTCCCTGAAAATATGTCAGTGCAAGAAAAAGTTTAGCATAGTAGCAAGTGAGTCAGGAAAAGCCTGGAAATAAAATGTTATTGTGCTCTGCAATGACCCGTGTCCTTGAGTGTGACGGCGGCTCTGCATCTCATTGAGATTCACAGTTATTAAACACAGAGGTCTTTGTTGTTTTGCCTTCAGACACATTTTATGTCCTGCCAGATAATAAGGTTGCTGGAGGGAAATAACTTGTTTTAATTAAACTTAATTGGCATTTTTACCTTCATCATAAGCTAATCTTATAAATTATCCACCAGATCTGATGCTCACGTTTAACCTACAACTAACTTTAATAAATAGCAAATCGAGTTTGATGTGCATAATGAATAATTAAATGTGAATTTCATTAAAGAAGCTTCTGTCTAGTGAAGGTGACATCTGATAGGTGCTCCAGTGTAATGGACAAACCTGTCACAGGCCTTATCATCATAAATGTCTTATTTTGTGAGTGCGTAACCTAAATATATTAATTTTATTATGATATAAGACCGAAACAATTATAAATCTTTATATTTGAGAGGCTATGTGTTGCCCTTCCTGCATAAAAATAAGTTATAAGATTAATTGAATATCATTATAGTCGGCCATTAGTTCTCCGTAGTTTGACTTATGGATGTAGCTCTAATTTGCTATGCTTCCATCTAGTGAAGGTGACATCTGATATGTGCTTTAGTGATAGGCAATCCTGTCCCAGGCCTTGCTTAAACCC